TCCTTTAAAAGGAACTCCATCGCCTCTCCCTGATTTCCGCATCTATTCCTGTGCCGGTCGACTCGGCAAAGTCATCATTTATAAGCCTAGGGAGGGAAAGTAATGTGCGTGCGTACAACCTGGACGGCAACAACCTGCATCCCACCGGTTCCGTAACTAATCTAGGCGTACACTTACGTTGTCATGCGAATTATATTGATAACACAAACAGACTGTAAGCAAACGGTCTACGTCTAGTTTGAGACTTAGGCTCACTTGCTACACTTGGTCTGAAATGATTGTTATCCTTCTGTTATCTTCCATTGTAAGTACGGTGCTTAAGTAAAGCTCAAACATCTAGTGTTCCATGGTAATCGGTGAGGTTCAGAGACTGATACTGGTGCAGCGTTGAGCTACCCGGCTCATCAACAGCCTACTAGGTATGTTGTACGATGACAGATGTACGATACTAGGGTTTGATACCTTGTCATATTGTTGGCTGCCAGCTGATCACATACTTATGCAACGCACATTGGAAATTGGCAATTTCCCAATGCTGAGGCCGATGCGGCATATTTGCGTAGAAAACAGCATACGCGGACACCGCTACAAACTAGTGGTACTTTGTTTAAAATGCATCGTTAACCCTCAGTGCTTACAGTGTAGATGCGGAGAAACAACTTTCCAGAAACAATAGTCGAGGCGAAATTGGTGTCGATTTTAAGAAGCTTCCTTGAACTCCACTTTGCTGATTACACGTTTATGGAGTTTATTATCTCTGGATAAGATGCAGTGCAGCTGCAATACGCTGCCACCGTGTAGAAATCAACGGCGTGTTCCAGCTCCTGTGCCCGATTCACCTACATTGGAGCAACACATTTTTCTTCTTGATTTCTATGCACAGTTTGCTGCATTCTTTCTTTATATTGAGGAGACAGAGGGTCAGTTGCAATGTAAAAGCGTACAGCATTGGACTGACCGTTTTGAATGCAGACATCTCTGTAGTATTACGAAGCAGATTTCATTGGGCTACTCCTTGTTTCTGTTAAACCAACCGTAACCTTGAAAATTGGTACCTTTTATTCCCGCATCTTAAGGTTCAAAATATTGGCGAACGGAAAAACAACGACAGTTGCATGCCGACCGCATTTGGCGGCTACCGAGTTGCAGATCGGCACTAATTGCAAGCTGAAATGCCCATACATTAATCAGCAACATTATGAACCGGTTGCATGGGTTTCAAGGAAACAATGGTTACTTATCTGATGTAGAAAGCTAGCTGTTTATAGGAAGCAATTGACGTGCAATAATGCTATTTCTTCTTTACGCGAATCGATCAACATACCTATGTAAGCATTTACCGCAAACATACAGGAGGCATCGGTAAATACTTTTTACGTTAGAGAAACCGATATGAAAAACTATGCATTTGTAACACGGTAGAGTAGAACATAACTTTTACGAATTTCGCAAAAACAAGGGGCACACCTACTAAAGTTTAATTTGATAAGCAGTTATTCTGCTGTTACTATTTGAATAAGTAAATGCGATTTCCAAGAATGAACACAAAGTTGAATCCGTATTATCGTCATGAATTTTTTCAGATATTACAATACATTCATTACGCTATACTATTACAGATGGCTATAATATCATTGTAATTTGTTAACACGAAATATTTATGAGCTAAGGGAATGTGTTCAATAATGCGTGTTGGCGAGTTTGGTCATATGTATATAAGAATAAGGACAAATGAGCATAAAAAGTAAAACTAAACTACAGCGGTCTACACCCAATAATATCCATCGGATTGCGCGTGCACCCAATAGCTTTTATTCACAAAAAACGAACGTAGACATAAGACTACATAATGTGCATAAACCTTTGTTGAGCTTTATAATCAATTTGTCTACCTCAAACAGCATGAACGAATTTTAGAAATAAAACTGCGTCCTCGTTACAAATGAAACTGGAGTGTCTAGTAGAGTATGTCTGTTCGCATTTCCTTTATATCTGTATAAATAAATTTCACGATAATCATGACGCTACAATGTCACACTCTTGAAAATTTCATGCTCCATTAATAGAAGGTCAGTTACAAATATGCAAACATTTAGCCTTCAAGCACCTTAGTCGTTATTGGTTCGTTGAAATAGCTAATTGGCTGTTTGATTATAAGGAAATTTGTCACAGACTATTGTATTTTGCCTTGTTTAAGCAAACAGTATGGCTTTGAGAAACCACTTTGTTAAACTCGTAAATACACATACAGATTACTAACAAAATTAGCAGCAAAAAGTGAAACATAATTATTATTTCCCACAATTTTGACTTCAGTACCAAATTTCATATGAGGCTGCTCAAGCGAAAGCTGCTCTATTATTAGTCAGCTTAGTGCTCGGAGTTAACAGGGCTTAAAACCGTAAGAACAAATATTTCAAGCAAACTAAAATGTTTTCATTATATATCAAGTCACATGAAAATTTAAGATGACCAACAATTTGGAATAATGTGATGCCATATGTCAGATACCGCCTCACATGGTCGAGGGTATCATGTATCCGAACGGCAGAGGAGCAATGGCTGATTTCGGAATTCACATCCAAATTGTGGGAAGAAGGTGTACTTATAAAGCACCAGCTTTAATGGCATAGTATAGTATATAATCGTTGTGATTCTCTAACAAATATCACGCTAACGCGATGCTATGAGATCCAGTTGAGAGGGAATGTGCCTACGTTTCGTGCGATCATCAAAGTATTGGAAACATGAAAACATATCTAGACAAAAGCGATAAGCGTATGCTGCTATTTTTTAAATTGAAAGATATAACATTTGCAAAACAATCAAAAAAGTGTATTTTTGCAGGTCGTTTCTTGGTAAATAAAACACACATAAGAGAATGACGAAAGAAATAATCAGAATGTTCATTAATTACTGTAAGCAAGAAAACAGCAAGCGATAGAACAAACATGTATCCAGCACTGGTAGAAAAGTTAACGCAGTGGGCTATGGAGTCACAACACAGTGGGCTTTACTGTTACCCGAAAGAACATTCGAATTAAGACGCTCCAAAATGTTAAAAACGTCGGACTTTCAGCTATTAAACCAGTGAATTTTTGCTTCATCTGGATGATGCAACCGTTTTCGAAACCGATTCGACATATTTCAACAAACACGCAATAAAATAGCCGTTAAAATGCCGAAGGAAGTAGACAGTAAATTTTAAAATTTTGTAGGTTCATGATTCAGATGTGAAAGCACTACTACTTTAAACCCTTTAAAATAGGAACTATGGACGAGACGCCCGTGTGCTTCGATGTACTATTAAATCGGATGGTGGAACGAAAATGTGCTGACACAGGTTTCCCAAAGATGAGGAAACAGAAGACGCGTTTCACGATGGTTTAAACTGTACGACAGGTGGCTCCTATTTATCACTTTTTACTACTATAAAGCATAAACCTTGGCCTAGAGATGCGCATTTCCCATCGGCGTGGTCGTGCGAGCTCAGGCAAATTATGCATGGAGGATTGTGGTGCTATAGACTGGCTGAATACAGTTAAAGAAAGTGAAGCGTTGCACTCTATAAAATGCCTATGCCTATTTGTGATTCTTTCAGAGCACACCGAAGCGATAGCGTGGATAAATCTTACCGTGCAGTGAATCCCTCATTGGCATTAATTCAAAGGGGAATTACATCAACCTTGTAGTACGTAGATATCTGTTTTAATAAGTTCTTCACATTTAGGCTTCAGGCCAGGTGAATTGAATGGATGTAGTCTTTGCGTATCGTTGCCGATGAGTGGCTATGTAAAAAGCGTTTACATTGGTACAACTGCAGAGTGGTATTAATAAGTGTTGCTGAACATTCTATGGATAAATTTTGTACCCTCAAACAAAATGTGCCGCATCGTTATTGTTATGGATGGAAATGAGGAGGTTGCTCAGTTTGTGGACTACGGCAATGACAAGAACATTGAAGCTAAAGATGATGGTATTTACTCTGTCATCCTAATGTCAGACTACCAGTACAGGGAACTGTTTGAAGCCTATAAAACCTACGAGTACTCGCTGTTCTCTCAAGTATTTTGTAATGTTATTTTGTATGATTGTGATAGATTATCTCTACTCAGTATGTCTTTTGTTGCTGCTACCATTCGCGAAAGTCAAGTGTGCAAAATAATTAGCGGTTTTCACAAAAACCAGGTTTATCCCCATAGGCACTTCAAACCTTTGCGTGGGGTAAATTTTGTCATTAGCAAGTGGTGCTTTGGCAAGATAAGCGCGCAGTTGTGGAGTAAAATTTGAATGTGATATTTTTACTTGGACACATCTGTGTATAAACCAACCTCCAATACAAAAATATAAAATTGTTCAGAATTCCTCGGATTTGCCAAATAAATATATGGTATTCCATGGTTTGTATATTAAAAAAACCAAAAAAAACCAAGCTTTATTAACTTTGTTATTTTGAATAGCATATTAATTATCTCATATGTTTGTAAGGTTTAGAATATAAATCAGTAAATATATAATTCTTCTACGTTGAACCTAAATCCGGCCTCCAACCTTTTATAACATATTGCAGCTGGATGATGAATTTCGTTTAGTTCTTGCACAATGCTGACGGAAATGTTGTTTACAAAACCATGTGTAAAGCATCAAGACTTTCTAATTCGGATGTTACATATACCATGATTTCCAGCACAGATTGTGGCTATTTCTAAGCTACCGTGTGTCCTATAATTTTAATAATTAATTTGTAACACGATCGCTGCTTCGTGTCATTTAAACATGTGTGCGTTCAATAGTATGCTCTTGGCATTTTTTTAACTCCTTATTTTGCAAACAATTGAAGATGCGGTGGTTTTTGAGGGATCTGCATGCATTTCAGGCTGTCTAAATAATGTTAATGTAAGATGGAATTTAGGAGAATATATAAATATGTTCTCTCTATCTCCAGCGACAAGGTTTAACAACATAAGGCTACCGGTAATACATTTTAGATTTCAACTTACTAAGAATTTTGATATGCAGATCCTTTTGGAATCCACACGGAAATATACTGAAATTTACTCGTATCTGGAGAGGGTGTACAATCGTTCAATCTGCATTCTTCATGACTTTGAGTCAATGTACTCTCAGCCGGTAGGGGTTGTCCTTGCGCTTTGGCTAACGTTGATAGACAGCATGTTTGGTCACTGGCGCTGGAACCGGTTGTGAAACTGAAATCGATCATACCACTACTAGAAGAATCTTTTTCATGCTTTAAAATATTTCTGTCATCCATTGTGCTACAGAGGTAATCACTAGATCTGCTAGATGTTGTTCTTCGGCGTACCGAAACATTTCTCCACAGCCTTCTGAAGAAAGAATTAAATGATCTAGGACGAGAAATATGTGTGTAATCCGCATTTGTATTCGCTAGGAGTATTGATTCCGCCATGCCTTCGTTTGGTAGAGAAAGATCCCGTGGAAGTCGATTCCGCCAACCCTCTGGGAATTGTGATCGTTCATTGGACACCGGACATGAAGCAAGCGAGCCACGTTGATTTGAGTTCTCAATTTCTGCTTTCCGGATTTTATACTCAGATTTTGGTAGTCGTGTACTTAGGTTAAAAGATGACAATAGTCGAGTAATGATGCTATTCCTACCGTGGAAGAGATCCATATGCGAACACCTTTTTGGAGGTTGACGGTTGTTTGTATGGCTTTGATTTGATGCAAGACCCATGGGAAGGTAATGTTCTGCAGAGTTGCTGTTCACATATAATACAATATACTGGCGAGCACCGGAATAGTAACGTTGCAAAAGCCGAAGCCTTCGTTGTGTTAATTCCAAAGTTCTGGTACAAGGTGTTTCACCAGCTGCATAGTTTGTCTCAACTGGGAGAGAAGAATATATGTGCCAAGCTTCAACGTGACCCTCATTGACCAAAAAGGCAGCCACCAGTTGATATTTACCAGCTTTTTCAAATGATCTTGAACTATTACCGCTTCTTTTTATGTCAAGTTCTTGAAGATGTGCGTTTTTATGTTGCATCCGTTTTTCGAATCGTTGTTTGAGACGTAACGCAACACAGGTCGGTAGCGCCTTAGGACCGACGACATTCTGCATATGTTCTGGAACAAATGGTGAATAGTTGCACAAGGGGGTCAATTTGCAAGCGCAATTGTCCGAACCATCCAAAAGCTTTTGTTGGTACACGGCATCAATACATGAAAAATCTTCAGTCACGGTTCGATCTAACGACTTGGTACTTAGTACATGCAAGGGCCCATTTGCGCAGGTTTCGTTTAGGTCATTTTTTACCGTTGCACGTTGCGACGTGTTCGGTGACATTTGTAGATCTGTGATATTTGTGCTGCGTGCCTGCACCGCTTGTGGTCGGCGCGCCTTGTTTCTCACGGAGACCGTGTTCCAGTGTGAAGGTCTACTTGCTGCGTCAGAGTGACGGGGTAAGCTACCCACGTTTACGATACCATGACGTCGAGAACTCCATCGATTTGCGGAACCTGTTTCTATGTACATTTCTCTTGATAGCTACGTGTGGTCCGAAATAATGTTCTAAATACAGAACAGAGAATAAGTAATAAAACGAGAAGTAATCTGTGCAAAATTTCGTAAAATTCATCTTTATTGGATGGGTAACAAAAGCTAATCGAAAATATTGCTACGATATGTTTTACCATAACACACATTCCATGCCATAAAGCGAAGTGAATCATTGGCAAAAAATACATGATTTCGATGCCCATTTATTCAACGAAAGAAAAAATGACGTGTCTGCATTCTGACTCAAAATTCATGGATTCAGATAGCATTAAGTCTTTATATCAGCCCAAATAGCACGTGCATGACCGATACTTTTAACTTAGATGCGAAGCGGTCGTGTAGCATACAGGCCTTCAGCTCATGCCTATTTCGCCAAAACGCATACGACGCATTATGAATTATATTATATTGATGTGACAGTAGGTGGAATACTAGTCAAATATAATACATCCCGTCACAAGCCCCTATAAAATCAGTGCGTGTGTGTACTATATTGTAAGGCTACTAATAATCTAAGCACATTGTCCACGCATTGCGATCACTAATGACATCAATCATTCAATGAACTTGATTGTTTGCCAGGGCCAAGACTTAGGGCTGTGGTTTATGTAATCCTCATTTAAGGCCTTAGAAACACGCGCACTTAACGATGTACTTAATTACCAATTATTTTACATTCATACTTTGTAATCAAGATCGGAAGATGTAACATACCTGGTACTTAGTAATCACCGTTTCAGCCCAAGCTAACGAAGATATTCGATATATCAGCAAAAGGTTGGTAAGATTCTACGGAAGCGAAATAATTCTATAAAATCCATTGTGTCAGGAGATTGGTTGACTTTAAGGATAAATTCATGACGTTTTAGTATGTCCATTTTTATGATCATAAATGCCCAAACTCTACTGGAAAAACTAAAAAAGCAATTAAATATTAGTAGTTGTAATGCTTATTTTCCACTTGTAATCATTTCGCTGCGAAAGATATAACTCCTTAAATATGTTGAAGAACAGATGCCGTCAAATTATGGCCAAAGTTGCTTTTGTGTTTATTACTAACACATGCCGAAACTGTAGTGGCCATGTCATTAAACAGTTAACCTTTGGTGCTTCTTTCCAATGAAAGGTACACAAAATCCCACTGGTACTAAAATGTAAGCAGGATAGATTTGTGCCCGTCAATTTTATTGGTCAGATTCCATGTTACCCCCGATTGCACTAAATGCGAATTATACACGTTTTACTCAATCAATACAACTGGATTCATAAATAAATAAAGGCGACTATTTATAGGCGCAGATATTCAATACTTTAAGAAATTAGCATTATTTTATTAAAGGACCTGTACATCTGCATAAAAGTTGATGCTCTTAATTTATTTAATGCTACATTTATTACCACCAATCGCAGGCTAGTGGCTATTTTAAAGTATTTTGATAGATAAAAAACAACCTTTGTTAAATTGTGGTCAATAATCTGGAGCTATATTTGATTCCTAATCGAGCACCACTTGGCGGCTCCCATCCTTCTCTTCCTATGCTGTCTTGCTGTCTACAACAAAAAACCACAATGAAGACATTTTTTGGTTTATCGTAGATTGAAATTGAGGCAATCCATTCAGTGGAATCTAACTAGACCGCACGAAATGGTTGCTTTCACATCATCTAATTCGTTGTTCGACACATTGGTACCTAAAGTTTTCTACCTAGTCGCAAGTTAACTGAACTTCATTTATGTTCACCTATCTACGATTGAAACCAAGCGCGTTTGTGATGTTTACATTTCTTAACCCCATATCAAGCATCCTCAGGGACCCAAAGAAAGTGGTTTCTAAACCATATACTACGCTCTAGTGAAGTAGCATTATGATCAGTTGAGGGAAAAGTATATTGCAAAAATTATGTTCATGTCAAGACAATGCTGAAATAAAAAACTCTGTTGTGATTAGGTGAAAATTGAAACAGTGCAGCGGAGACGCTCGGTACATTGTGAATGCTAAAGTAACTTCCAAGTACTATTTCGTGATTCTGCTACAAAAGCAATAATTACTATCCGATTCTTTGTTTGCGTAGTTTGGTTATTCCCTAAATTCAGAGCACCTTGGAATCTTTGCATCACTTCAACTAGAGGTAGCCTATTTAATCTCATGCAAGACACTAGATCTGAAAAGTTGTGGATGTTTGTCATCAAGCAGTGTGCAAGTTATCTTATTTATCTGCTGGCTGTGTTGCACACACTTTTAGTAAAGCCAAAGGAAAAAGTGGATGTTTATTCTATAAAAGCCGGATGCCGGTACCGAAGAAATTCACATGTAAATTTTGGCTCAATGCATGTTTCGCTTTGAGTTAGAAGAACATTTTACAAGTATTTATTGGTTTAAGTTACTAGAATTTGAATTGGATAAGCCATATCATTTAACACTTGACGTTTATAGTACTCCTAATAGATAGTGACTTGACTTGTGCATTCAATGTTTTCCGTATTATATAGAACGTTCAACTTCATATATCTGATGATCGACTACTACAAAAGGTTCAGCTGTATTACATATTCAATATTATTTCGTGAGGTAAAAGTTGCTAGAATCAGATACCTATTAGTGCTTTTGCTAAAGGACTTTTCATTAGATGGACGCACGTAAATGAACAATGAACAATGAATTTATACGGGTTAAGAAGCGTTGCTTTACAAGTCCCGTTGGGTAGTTGGTGGGGATATCAACATAATAATTATGATGAAAGGATAGTAAAATAGTTAACACTTTAAATACGAAAATAAAGACTTATCGTTTGCTTCGCTGCAGTCCTGCGATCCACTTAGATTCACAACACTCACAGGTAACAACAAATAATTCCAGGGTAAACTCCAGGTGTAGGATGGAGACATAGTGTTAAGTAACAAAGTGTAAGTGGATGAGTGCATCGTCCAACCGTCTTTTAAATATTGTTAGTGTCGAAGCAGAGACGACCGATTCTGGGAGAGCATTCCACGGGTGACAGACACGGATGGAAAAGAAATTTGTGCGGCACTCCAGACGACTGTATTGTTCTGCGAGTTTTAATGAGTGGCCCCTCAGGTTTGTATTGCTGCTGAGTTGCAGTAAATGTCGGCACACATGATATGGGTTTCGCAGAATCAAGTATGCCTTAATAAAGTCGCCTCGTATTCTGCGATAGCTTCCACTAAACGATCCTAGTCGTTGCAACCTCTGCTGGTAGGAAAGATTGCACATTCCAATTACGTTCTTAGATGCCCGGCATTGTGGCTGCTCCAGTGCATTAAGGTCGTGTTTCAGCCATGGATGCCAGGCTTGAATTGCGTATTCGACATGGGGGCGAACATACGCACTGAGCATTTGTCAAAATATGGAGCTGTTTATTTGTCCAAACGCCCGCCTCAACAGCCCAACGTGTTGGTTCCCGGCCTTCGAGGCCTTTTCGGATTGCCTGGAGCAACCCAAGTCATCTTGAACCAGGACACCCAAATCACGTTCGAGAGTTGATTGTTGAAGTACATCCGTTCCGAGTCGGTATGAAAAGCTGTGGTGATGTCGGATGGAAAGCATCTTGCATTTACTGACGTTGAAATGCAATAAGTTTTGGATCGAGCATTGATACACTGTATCTAAGTCACTTTGGAGCACAATTTGGTCGGCGTTCGCCTGGATCCTGCGCCAGGTTGTTGGCAAGGGGTATTAGAAAATAGCCAATATGTTTGACGCCTTTCAATGAACAATTTTACACACATTTTGTTTACTACTAAAATCAGTTAAATATATGTTCTAGACCAAGCTTATTTCTTAAAATGTGTAGTCAACTTTGTTAACGGCGAAAATCATGCAACCTCGGACTCCTTAACTAAGCTTTAAAGTTGATGAGCTTAGTTAATGCAGTCGTCGAAATTCAAGTTATTGATGTTAACCCAGTATGTTTTAACTACATAATGCACTTTATCCCGGAAAATTTGACTAAATGTTTCAAAGTTCCAATAAAATGGACTGTGTACGTTTCTATACCTATTTACATGTTCTTGGTGTTACACTGAGCCACTGTTTATCGTGGTCACGCAACGTAAATCAAATATTCACCAACGTCAATCTTTCTACAGTTTACGTCAATATATTGCCATCTTCCATGTGCCATGCAATTTGGTTCTAAATTACATCACTGCATATATCCTACCTTAATGGATATTCTGCTCGCTTGCAAGTCATCCCGGCCCAATGTGCACGGACGTCAAGTCGCTAATAAGCCACCGAACCACTGGTGTTGCTAAAGTAGCATACCAATGTCAAATTTTTCAAATCCATTTTAGATACGCACGTCAATTCTATGATATACGTGCTTCCAGAATATTGTATCTGCTGCTATATTCTACATGAATCCTCTGATGTGTGTGCTACGTCGACCAGACGAAAGGGCAGGTTTGCATTTTTGCAAGAATGTTAATATTTTTTCTGTCTTCCTTATCTAGACACTTTTCACTTTGACTAATGCACTATAATATAAGTAATGACCGGTAACCTTTTCTCGTGTGATTGTATGTCAATAGGCTACATGAAAGTTTTGTGTAATTCTGCAAGTTAAATATTGCTACTTGACAATAACCTACGTGACACGATACAAGGACGAATAAAACCGCATTCCAGCATTCATTAACGAGACTGGCGTTGATTTGTCAATTTTAATGCATTATTCGTCTACCCACCGGCGCAAATTACTAAATGTTTTAAACCTCTTTAGCATCTTTTATACAGTATAGCTCAAATAATACGGTTTTTCCGCCATAAAATTATCAAAGTGGGTACGAACTCAATGTCCCAGACCGACGCTGCCATGTTGAAAAAGCTGAATGTAGGTCAAAGTAACTTAATTTACCAAAAGATACCACGCGGAAACAAACATAACCAGAGTATGCACAATTGATAATTTGCAAAATAGTGTAATGTAGCTACCAGCATGCATATATTTTCCTTGCCGGTTATTTATGATTACCGAAGAGTAGTAGGTGGA